AAAGGGAGAGAGAGAGTGGCGGCTAGGGTTTGTGAGAAATAATTTCTGCAGAGATTTGGTAGTAATTTTAGACGTACCTCAACCCTTGTGTGTGGCCATCCTTTTATAGAGGTCTCGGGAGCTAGGGTTTCAAAGGAATAATTCCGTAGATGGAAGGGAATTATTCCTTCCCAATTTGGCGAGATTTGACTAATTAGGGATTTGATTTATTAAGGATACAAATCAAAACCCTAATTGTGGTAATCAATCAAATCAATACCTAATTTAATTAGGTAACTCCTCCTTTAATTGAGAATATTCGTAGGAATCAAATCAATCCTCAACCTAATTAGGCAACATTCTATTTAATTGGGTAATCCCCAATTAAATTGAATAATTCCCAATTAGGTCAAATAATCCCCAAATGGAAGGAATTATTTGACCTAGGGTTACGAATTAATTCGGTTCCCACAATATCCTTTCAACACTTTCATATACCTAAAATACCAATGAGTTAGAATTGAAACAAATTTCATTTCAAGTTTAAAATGTATATTAGTTTTGATAAATTGAAAACTACCTATCAAATGGATACATCCAACGATATTGAACCGGTCCACATAGACGAGCTTCCCGTCCTAGGTGGATTGTCCATTGCACCATTACATCAAAGAAAGAAGGAGGAAAGAACCTTTCTAACATGCACAATGTTTGTACAATGTCTTCCTCCAATTTTTCTAGTTTGTTTCTATCTACAGCTCTTTGACATAACTCATTAAAGAATGCACACAACCGGAAAATTGCAGTCCTTGGATCTTTAGGTAAAAGGCCCCTCAATGCCACCGACAGCAATTGCTGCATTAGCATGTGATAATCATGGGACTTGTGACCAAATATCTTACTATCTTCCAGGGAGATACAATTTTCAATATTTGAACCATAACCATCAGGTAGTTTTAAATTGGCAAGCCTCCAACAAAAAGTTTCCTTCTCTTTCTTTGATAGAGTGTGAGGTGCTGCAGATAGATAAAAACGCTTTCCTGTTTTTTTGGGGTGCAAATATTTTCTAATCCCCATATTTTCCAAGTCTTTACGAGATTTGATGTCATCCTTAGATTTTCCCTTCGTAAGTAAAAGGGTTCCAATAATACTCTCACAAATATTCTTCTCTACATGCATGACATCCAAATTATGACGTAGAAGTATATTCTGTAAATCAATAAGCAATATGGTGTTATAGTAGTCATTGCAATAGCTAACTTATGCCAAAAATAAGAAATTAAATAGAAACATTTTCAGCAAACTACTAATACTATAATTTATAACATACCTTCCAATATGGCAGCTCAAAAAATATTGATTTCTTCTTCCATATAAGATCAGAAAAATTCGTATCTTTCACTTGATTCCTCTTCCTCTTCGTAATTTTTTCCTTCTTTTCCTTGGTTTCTTTTTTTTCCTTGTTGTCTTTTCTTTGTTTGTTCTTTCTTCCATTCTTGTTCTTTTTCCTCCAATCAGTCATAATGCTATCAACTTCAAGATAAATTTCTTCACCTGTAGAAATCTTTGGTCTACTCCTATCTTCATGATGTCCATTAAACCAACTCATTTTCTTGCGATATGGATGATTCATAGCAAGAAATCTTCTATGACCCATGTATGAAAATTTATGACTATGTGTCAACCAATCAGCACATGTGTCTTTACGACAAACTGGACATGCAAACCTTCCTTTGGTAGACCATCCGGATAGGTTTCCATAAGCTGGAAAGTCATTTACTGTCCACATCAAAACAGATTTTAGGTTGAACATCTCCTTACTAAATGCATCATACACCTTCACCCCATTATTCCATAGATCTTTTAAATCATCTATAAGTGGTGCCAAATAAATGTATATGTCATTACCTGGCTGTTTTGGACTTGGGATTAGTAAGGTCAACATCAAACTATCCTTAGACATGCATAACCAAGGAGGCAAATTATATATAACCAAGATAACTGGCCAGCAACTATATCTAGAACTAAGATCTTGAAAAGGGTTAAAACCATCAGTACAAAGGCCAAATCTAATATTTCGAGGGTCTAATCCAAAAGAAGGCCACTTCTTGTTTATCCTATCCCATGCCAAGGAATCAACGGGATGTCTCATCTTACCATCTTGACTTTTATGTGTTGAGTGCCACCTTAATTGTTCAACTGTCTCAGTTATTGCATACATCCTCCTCAATCGTGGTACTATTGGAAAGTAACGCAATACTTTTGCAGGGACTCCCTTTTCAATTTTAGAATTGCGTTGATTCACTTTCCATCTCGAAGAACCACATTTAGGACATTCCTCTACCATCTCAAGATCATTTCTAAATAGACAACAATCATTCACGCATGCATGTATCTTCTCATATCCAAGTTCAAATGCCTTAAATATCTTTTTGGTTGTATATAATGAACCAGGAAGTGTGTTATTTTCTGGTAGCATATCAACAAAAATTTGAAGCATTTCATCAAAAGCATTATCTGTAAGACTAAGCATTTCATCAAAAGCATTATCTGTATGACTATGTGTTGCTTTATACTTCAACAAAGCAACAACTGCTGACATCTTTGTATACTCAGTACAACCAAGAAACAAAGGAGTTTCAACTTCTCTAACAAAATTTTCAATTTCTGCCTCTTTACTTTCACAAGGGTACCCCTCAAATTCTTCATTTTGGAAATAAAAGTCATGGTACAACCTATATGCCACAGGCATTTCCACATCTTCATATTGAACATTATTACTTGGACATTCACCATGAAAAACCCAAGTGGTGTACGCAAGATCCATGCCTTTTATGACCAAGTGTTCATACACTAAATTAAAGTGGTGATGTTGTAGGTTTCTGCATTCCAAACAAGGGCATACTATAATATCTAAGTTTCCCACATGTCTTTATGCTACATTGACAAACTGACGTGCTCCCTTTCTATATTCATCTGAAAATCTATAATAAAGTTTTATTTAATAAAAAAGATATATATAGTTAATAGTACTGAAAACCTAATACTCTTTCAAGTTATACATGGTCAACCTGTTAAATTGCAGCCATTCTTTAGCCATCCGAGAAACAAATTACATCATATATATGTCACTCCATTTATATGAAGAAGAAAAAAACTAAAATCAAATTAAGACAGAAAAATAATAGTGAGGAATTGAAATAGAAAACTTTGCAAGAGTAGTAGTATTGGAGTTTATAGTTGGTGCCCACTTCCTAGTCTACAAGGACGGACCACGTATAGGCTAGCATGTGCTCTAGCATAGTGCTGAATTTTGAGATTAGGCTTATTGTGTAGGCTCAATCTAGACCAATCAAAGAAATCAGCCCGCCATGGACAAAAAATCATATGGCTACAAGAAGAAAGAACAGAGAAATAGAGCAGACGGAGAGAGAAGAAAGAAAATAAGAAGAGAGGAAGAAGGAAAAAGAACAAAGAAAGAGAGAGAGAGAGAAGAGGAAAAAGAATAAAAAAAAAGAGAGGGAGAGATTAAACAAATGGAAAGAAAGAGAGAGAAGAAGAAATAGAATAAAAAAGAAAGGTGGAGATATGTGTTGGGATGGGATGTGTTTTTATTTTGTCGGGTGCACTGCCCAACAATAGGTGATGTTTTTATTTTATTTTTACTTCCTTGTTTTACTTTAATTCCTTCTAAATATTTGTTCACTTCTGTTGTCGCGCTGATATTCATCAACCAATTTTTGCTATGCCGTCAACTGAGCTTTTAGAAATTGCACCTCATGAGTTTTTGCAATGAGGCGATGCCCCACACTTACGATACATGCCACACTCTGCACGTCCATTGCCACAACATCGCTCACTATGTGGTTGTCATCCCTCATTCCCAGTATGTGTAGATCCCTGGGAGTCACCAAACTCCTGGCAACTCCAATGGAAACATCGTTCTCTAGGAGTAACGAGTCATTGACGGTCACGGGTCCTCGTGAGGACGCAAAATAGGGCGCCCAGACCGGTTCAAGTGGTTGCACCCTTGTCTGTATTGGTGGAGCTAAACTAAGATCCAGATAAGATTGGAAGGAATAAGACATTTTCTTTTTGCTTTTCTTTTCTTTTTCTCTCCTTTCTCTTTCTTCCACTCCTTCCAATTTATGGACATAGTTTTAGAGAAACCCTAGCAATTATAGCTTCAACCGTCTTCAACTTTGTCGCGACTTTCTATGGCGTCTTGTCTTCTCTCTCATTAATTGCATCCGTTTAGAAAGGTTTGTCGCGACAAAATTGAAAACGCGGGAAATCAAAAGGAGAGAAAATAAGGAGGAAAAGAAAGCAGAGAGAAAAAAATCAAATTAAGACAGAAAAATAATAGTGAGGAATTGAAATAGAAACCTTTGGGAGAGTTGTAGTACTGGAGTTTATAGTTAGTGCCCACTTCCTAGTCCATTCAATTTCAAACAATTTCTTTCATGGCTTCCTTCACCAGCTTCTTTGTCTTTCATGGCTTCATTCTTACTAACCATTTTTCATCCTTGTTACAACCTTTTTTTCTTTTTACTTTTTTTGTAATCATTCCCAAAACATGATTCCTTCCCCTGTTTTTTCATTTTTGTTACATAAAAAAAAAAGAGTACAAAAAGTATAAAAATAAAAAAAAAAGTTGGAAAGCGAATTCCTTTTTCAAGGAGGCATGGCTTGGTTAAAGTGGATCAACACAAGGGGCAGAGAAATTTAAAATATATATATATATATATTAGTTTATGTACACGTGATCATCATCAATATATATTATAAATCTAAGAAATCCCACCATTAACTCTCTTTCATTGTTGGGGCCAAGTTCTTAACTTTTCATTATTATAGTTAATTGCGTCCGTTCAACCGTCTTCAACTTTGTCACGACTTTCTATGGCATCTCGTCTTCAACTTTGTCGCGACTTTCTATGGCGTCTTGTCTTGTCTCTCATTAATTGCGTCCGTTCAGAAAGGTTTGTCGCGACAAAATTGAAAACGCGGGAAATCAAAAAAAGAGAAAACAAGGAGGAAAAGAAAGCAGAGAGAAAAAAAAAATCAAAAAGAATGAAGCCATGAAAGACAAAGAAGCTTCCTTCACCAGCTTCTTTGTCTTTCTCAACGTCTCTTCCTTCACCAGCTTCTTTGTCGTTCATGGCTTCATTCTTACTAACCATTTTTCATCCTTGTTACAACCTTTTTGTTTCTTTTTTCTTTTTTTTGTAATCATTCCCAAAACATGATTCCTTCCCTTGCTTTTTCATTTTTGTTACATTAAAAAAAAGTACAAAAAGTAAAAATAAAAAAAAAGTTGGAAAGCGAATTCCTTTTTCAAGGAGGCATGACTTGGTTAAAGTGGATCAGTACAAGGGGCAAAGAAATCTAAAAAAATATATTAGAGTTTATGTACACGTGATCATCATCAATATATATTATAAATCTAAGAAATCCCACCATTAACTCTCTTTCATTGTTGGGGCCAACTCCTTAACTTTTCATTATTATAGTTAATTGCGTCCGTTCAACCGTCTTCAACTTTGTTGCGACTTTCTATGGCATCTTGTCTTCTCTCTCATTAATTGCGTTCGTTTAGAAAGGTTTGTCGCCAAAAAATTGAAAATGCGGGAAATCAAAAAGAGAGAAAACAAGGAGGAAAAGAAAGCAGAGAGAAAAAAAAAATCAAATGAGACAAAAATAATAGTGAGTTATTGAAATATAGAAACCTTTGCAAGAGTAGTAGTATTGGAGTTTATAGTTGGTGCCCACTTCCCAGTCCATTCAATTTCAAACAATTTCTTTCATGGCTTCCTTCACCAGCTTCTTTGCCTTTCTCACCGTCTCTTCCTTCACTAGCTTCTTTGTCTTTCTTGGCTTCATTCTTACTAACCATTTTTCATCCGTGTTTTTTTTTTTTTTTTTTTTGTAATCATTCCCAAACCATGATTCCTTCCCTTGCTTTTTCATTTTTGTTACATAAAAATAAAAAAAAGTTGGAAAGCGAATTCCTTTTTCAAGGAGGCATGGCTTGGTTAAAGTGGATCAGCACAAGGGACAGAGAAATCTAAAAATATATATATTAGTTTATGTACACGTGATCATCATCAATATATATTATAAACCTAAGAAATCCCACCATTAACTCTCTTTCATTGTTGGGGCCAACTCCTTAACTTTTCATTATTATAGTTAATTGCGTCCGTTCAACCGTCTTCAACTTTGTCGCGACTTTCTATGGTGTCTTGTCTTGTCTCTCATTAATTGCGTCCGTTCAGAAAGGTTTGTCGCGATAAAATTGAAAATGCGGGAAATCAAAAAGAGAGAAAACAAGGAGGAAAAGAAAGCAGAGAGAAAAAAAAAATCAAATGAAGACAGAAAAATAATAGTGAGGAATTGAAATAGAAACCTTTGCAAGAGTAGTAGTATTGGAGTTTATAGTTGGTGCCCACTTCCTAGTCCATTCAATTTCAAACAATTTCTTTCATGGCTTCCTTCACCA